CCTACCCCCCCCCTTCGCACACGGGCTGAACGCCGGTAGCCATTAAAAAAACATCGGCACAGCCGACCTATCTTGCACTTTTGACACGACGTGCAATTGTTGCAGTATATACTACTGACTGCCTGTTGACAGCTTATAAATAGTACGCAGTTATCACACCGGTGTTGACTGAATTCAGCTCAAATATTCATAGCCGTTTAGGGGCCGAACTGCAAACGTTTTGTCGCAAAGGATTTCCTCCAGGTTCGAGCACTAATTTTTGAGTGAATCTGGTGAGTATTTATCAGCTTTTGATAAATTATCTTCAGACCTTCGTATTTATTTGTTATTGAAGTAATAAAAAGGGGATGCGCCGAGTGAACTTTTAAATAAGTACTTACATCAAGTTCATCATGCATCTTTCCAGCAGCTGGCACTCGTGTACTATTCTCGAATAGTTTCATCCCATATGGAAAGTGCAAGGATAAACCGCCGCGGCTCAAACCACCCACTTTGCGTGTATTTACTCCTTTAACTATCCCAGTGGAGCAGAAAACAGTGATCGCAGAAAGCGGCGTTTTTCAAAACTAATGAAATAAAATCTTCCAACCAGGTTAGGAAAGGAACAAATAAAGAATGTGGACGACAGAGGCCGACTGAACGATTTAGAAGGTGCCGTCACGCCTTCCAAAACCACTTGAACAGCGTCTCTTGGCAATGACAGGGGCGGCTGCAGATGGGTTAGGCAAACCGGACCTGTGCGTACAGAAGAAATGTATACAGACCCCGTAGTAGCCGTGGCCTAAAAATACCAAACCAGTATCCTGCATTAAATGAACTTCTCTGGTTCCCACTTTCACCCCTGGCGCTGACTGTACACTTATTTTGCTCCCGCCCTTAGAGCATGGTTAACCATGTTTTTTACTTATTTCAATGGCTCTAAAATGTACAGACCCGAAGAGTATTTATCGAAAGCGGACGTGTGCCGGCCAAATTATCTTTTGAACACGTGGATTTCCAGGGACTTCGAAAACCGATGGAAGTAATTCATACAAATTAAGCAGTCACTTCTTAGAAGATGATTTTTTTCAGGCTATTGAAAGGACCCTTGTCCAAAGCCTGTTACATTCCAGCGTGGATGAAATTGCCAAGGGCTATGGTGCAAGGTCATATTTTCTACCGAAACCACAGTTCTGAATTCCAGCTCAGTTTCTAAAAAAATATGACACCTAGCGTAAGGAATGAATGCGTGTAGAAGTAACCTGATTTGATTTAGTTTGCCTCAGTCGCAGACCGACAGAAACGCGGATCCTCTTCCACTAGTCACGCCCTTTAGCAGGAGATGGTACTAAAAAGTCAAAACGAGCGCTCGGA